ACATGATTTAATGACTCGTAAATGTAAGTACACAGTGATGACCTAAGACACGAAACGAGCGGTTTGTGCGAGAAAACGAACAGTATTTATATCGTTTTTACCTCTTGTAATCATAGCCATTACAAAATGATCTGACGGCAAGGGCGCTTCGGTCTGCGCATGCGTCGGAAATGATCGCTTGCGCGCCGACGTCACTCTTTGTTTATACAGAGATTTCGGAAGTTTTACCTTTCACTAAACATATTTAGATATACGGGAAACCGCAATGGAAGACGATCTAAATATGTTTAGTAAAAGGTAAAACTTCCGAAATCTCCGTGTAAATATTGAGTGACGTCACACGTAGGGTTGGGTATCGAGAATCGAGTATCGATTGGAACCGAGACTAACTTTTCGTTTTTCCCGGAATCGTTCAAAAGTTAAGATTTCGATTGCTAGTTTCGATATTCACAGTCCGCCGAGCGGAAGAAGAAACCGCTGAACAACACCAACGAAGAAGCGTCTACCGGAAGTGTTGGCATAACCGCGCGAGTCGAACATGAGTAGCTTACGTCGGCGATCCGAAGTGTGGCTTCACTTTTCTAAAAATAACGAAATCTCGGCAAAATGCAAAATTTGTGACAAAAGGAGTATTTTTACAGAAGGAGTATTTCCTTCAGAAAGGATTATTTCCTTCAGAAAGACCGTTGGTTAGCAAGGTTAGCTAAACTTTTTTGACCCTGCCTCTTAAAAGAATCGGAATCGAGAATCTTTAGGAACCGGAATCGAAACAAGGAATCGGAATCGGAATCAGAATCGTTCCAATTCAAACGATACCCAACCCTAGTCACACGCAAGCGATCACTTCCAGCGTAACAGTGAACTGATTCAGATCACTTGGACTTCACTGTGATTCGTTTTCTCACACAAACCGCTCGTTTCGTGTCTTAGGCCATCAATACTTACATTTACGAGTCATTAAATCATGTTTAATCTGGACTTCTCTGTGCATGCTTTTTGGTGGACCCCCTTAGCCTCCAGTGTATGACTGATGGACAACAACGGTTTGACCGAAAAATGTCAAAATTGAAAATACTGTGGAAACAAAGACTAAAACATATCAAAAATTAATTTCAAAGTGAACTATCCCTTTAATATCTCTATAACCCTCATCAGAGAGATCATACAGAACTGGCAGAGTCAACTTTTCTAATCTCTCCGCCATTTTTGTTCTGACGCTTTTCTCTGTGTAGTACGACGTCCGTTGGAGGTGTATTGCGTATTACGGAGCTGATTGCAACTGCCGGTGTGAAAGGAGTGATTGATTGGTCGCGTCACTGTGTGAAAAATAAATAGCCTACTTCGGCCGAGCCTTAATGATGTCAGGTTGCCCTTGAAGCAAATCATCTACACAATTATTTAGTTTTCCTATTTAATGACCGACAAAATTTAGTTGTAATAATAATTCTGGCATACGGCTTATTAGCGTTAGGCTAGCCAGAAGGTCTGATTTAGCCTGTGCACTGTTACAACAATAACACATTATTTTTATCACAATGACATTTAAGTTCATGATTTTTAGTTGCAGACTAAAGACTAATGAAAGACTGTTGATCTTTGAATTAACACAGTCTCATCCCGAGACGTCACATAACGGACGTCTTGGGACGTCTTTTGACCATACGTCAACATCCGCCTTTTGAAGGCCAATTTATACTTCTGCGTCGAGGGTACGCCGTAGTGTACGTGCGTAGGTGAGCATTTTTACTTCTGCGTTCAGGTCTAGGTTGCTCTGCAGCACTGCTCCGAAACGCTAGTTGGCGGCGGAGGGTTTTAGTGTTCCACTGTTTAGATTCCTCGAGTTGCGGCTAGGTTACAACAACCCTGAAAGAGAGCGGATCATGTTGGAGTTGGAGCTTATTGAGGTGGAAAAACTGTTAATTTTAGTGAAATTACTAAAACTGAAAGGCAGAAATGAGAGAAGACGTCGGAGGAGATGGTACGTGTGGAAATGCGTGAGAAGGTACGTGCGGAAATGTGTTGGAGGAAATGCGATGCTACCAAGCCGACCAATCACCGATCTTGCGGTCCGCGTTGTCGCGACGTGTAGTTACATTTTTGAGGAGGTGCGAGTCAGGCTACGGCAAAGGGTACGCGGTATGGGACGCGTCTCTGCGTATGCTACGCCGTACCTACTGCGCGCACCCTACGCAGAAGTATAAATTGGCCTTTAAACGTCGGTTAGATGACAATCCCGGGCCGTCATACAACTGACGCTTTACCTTTAACGTCAGTTAGGTGACGGGGTAAGGTTAGGATCCGATAACGTCATCTAACCGACGTTTAAGGGTACTCTAAAAAGGCGGATGTTGACGTATGGTCAAAAGACGTCAGTTATATGACGTCTTCCCAGATAGCAAACTGACATTGAATCTACGTGGAAACATGACATCGAAACAACGTTGATCCGACATTGTTTTGCTCATCGAATTAACGTTGAACCAACGTCAGACGCGTAATT